TTTTTTCTGTAAGATCTGTGACAAATCTGCTAATGCCAGAAGCAGAGGCAACCTACAACCAAAGAGTTGCTTCAGTTTACAAACACCAGGATCAAAAGAAATGAGAAACCGAACGTTTTAGCATCATACATCTTCTCTCCTCCATATCCCAGCATACTCCACTACATTATTCTTACAATAAACACACTGGTTTTCCTTAAGGAGTGTATTTACACAGTGAAGGTGTGTTTTTTCAAGTTTTGGGGTTATTAGGACTCAGCCTTACAAACCACAAGTTCCACAATATTCTCTGTGTGACTTAAGCTGTAATTGGATGGAGATATAAAGAAGACTCTGCCTATACCACGGAGAGAACAAACTTCACAGAAGTACTTGAAACACTAAGTGTCCAAGACCTGAAGAGTGAAAACTTAAATATTATATTTAAAAATTTACCTTAAGTTTAACTTGAGAAACATTTTGTCTTTTAGTTTCTATTTTTTCCGCTTTCTGTGTAAAGCCATAGAACCATGGTTTCAGGTACACCTTGAATACATTTTTTGTGGAAAAGAAGTGATCTGACCACAAGAATACTTGCTGTGAATTTTGCAGCTTTTATCTTCACCAAGAACAGACGTCTTGGGGGTGTGTGGGAGGGGACAGGAGTAGGAAATACATAAAAATGAAATAATTTAGCCTAAACGATAATCACAGAAGTGCACTTAGCTCAAAGAAACAGCGGCAGCCAATGAGCTCATGCCTGAATCGGAATAAAAGCACCTTGAGGCTCTTACTTTATATCCCGTCTGCACTTGTGAGTAAAATTGTGCCTAAACATTATCTCAGAACTTTACAAAATTACATTTGTCTACAAGAGCCCAGCAATTTCAAACCCTTGATCAGAGATGCTGAGTAACCTGACTTCCTGACATGCAGGTCCCTTACTACTAATGTCAAAAGGATATTTTGCTCGTATGAGTTTCAGCTGCCAGTGACAACTGATTTCCACCTGCCAGTGACAACGGCATACAGCCTCAGGACAGAATGCTAGAGGAAATCCTTCCTTGGCAATCTAGCTGAGGATTAGCTTTTACAGACCAGATAGTATACTTCTGAACCCTGAGCAGGAAATCTGCATTGAACTGTCAACTCTCAGGTGAGCTCCAGACAAATTGAGTCAAAAACCACCTGAATTTCACAACTTCGTATCTGAAAGTGGGCAAACTGGGCTTACGCACTCAGATTCTAGAAACTCACAACAGCAGCAAAATTTTAAAACAGGAAGGCGGAGACACACAACTACCGTGATGGAAGTACACAAACAGACCAGCAGAAGGGAGAGAAAACAAGGCTGGAACAACAAAGGTGTAAAACACTGGAGGAAGTGGATCTAGTTCAGATTTAAGATGTTTAGATTTAACAGTACCTCTAGTCTCCCACACACTATTCATTGCTGTCAAGCCTGGGCTCTCAGGCTGACCTGCTGATGCGCTGATTTACTGTGTCATATTAAGGGGGTCCCTTTGGCAGACACCGAAGGGATCGGTCTGATCCTGTCAGGAGCAGCCCAAGTCTACCAGTAACTTTTAAAAATTTTGACTCCTGATGGTTTAAACATGTTACTTTTATAAGGGTATTTTAAAACAGAAGGCAAAAAACCTGAATCCCTCACCAGTTTATAAGAATCCCACTAGTTTTGTCAGCTGAGTTACAAATAAATAGCATTTCACAGCCAGTAAGACTGTAGAAACTGTTCTTTCCTCTGATCCATCAAATTTAAGTTATTATACTCAGCATTACAGTGTCTCAAGCAAGGATCAAGAATGTACATACCTATTCTATACCTTCCCCAAATTAGTGTATGACCATAAAAGATTAAAGAGATAAACATCACTGAAGGTTTAGTATTGCCTAACTCACAGCACAACAAAACTTCAGTTATTTTTTTGGCTTGCTAATTCTGTAATATTAATCAATTCTAGGAGAGGATTCCACGAAGAGTTAAGACTATGATCCTCAATGTTGAGGCGGCTGGGTGCTAACATCTCTCTCTCTCCCATCTCTCTTCCCTCATATGCTTTCTTTAACGAAGTTTCTTGAAATCAGTGTGTTAAGAGGATTGTACTTTCTCAGGTTTTCAAGCACTCTCTTAAATGTCAAGCTAGTCATTCTCTAAATGCTTGGCAAGAATCAGAGATATTTTAAAATGGAATATTGACACAGGAAATGCAAGAAAAAGTGTTTTCTCTAGACAGGTCCATCAACTTAAGGCCTTAAAACAAGTTAAATTTGTACTTGTTTTCCTTATGTTTTTAAATAATGAAAACAATGAATGGCAAATTCAGGACTTTGGATTCCAAGAGGTTCTGGAAGCTACATACCAAAAGTAAAGGAGAGATTTTGAAACAGCAAGATTTATTACTTTATTTACTCTTAGAGAATCGTGAGAAAATACTTCTATGCTGATATAATTGAGTTCAGAAGTGAGATCCCCCCCTCCCCCAAGCTCTTAACGAAGCTCTTCACTCATTTAACAACAAGCTACAAAAACTAATGTTGTATTTTGTTTAGGAGTTGAAGCTTTTTCAAATCTTATTTCCCCCCTAAAATTTGAAGTAGGATCTTTTCTTTGACAAAACCAATGTCATCACAAACTGTCAAGGAATATTTGAGGTACAAGGAAGGTTCTTCCTCCCTCACTGAGCACACAGCTAAACATGACAAACAGCAACGTTCTACAAAACCAGCATGAAGGACGATAGCGATGGTGAGGCTCTACGTTAGCAGAGAAGATGCGTACCAAGCCTCCTGCTACATTCTTACCCGTCATTCCACTGATCACTTGCTGCCTCTTCTGCTACCAAGATATCGTACTCTTCAGCAGCATACTTCTCCCAGTCAGAGACCTCTTGGCTTTCACCTTCACCATCCTAAACAATCACATTGCAAGTTATACAAAAACATACCAATTCTTAAGCACACAGCTAAAAAGACTTTTAAAGCTTCATACTCACCCGCAACATAGAAAACTGATCCTTCTGTTCATGGTCAAGGTATTTTTCAATGTTGAAAAAAGTATCAAAAAACACATTTGTCAACTTACATCGCTTTAAATCATGCAGAGTAATTTTTCCTGTAAAGAAGATAATGAGATATTTAGAGTTGAAATTAGCCTTTCTCCAGAAAGCAGGAACGTTATTCAAAAGTTAAGTCATCATCATGCTCAAGAACACTTGTCACTCATACTCAACACAATGGGAAAGAAGGGAATAGATGAAACACACACCTAGAGATGTGTCCTTCAAAGTGGACAAAACTTTCAAATGTTTCAGATTTGTTAGTTGCTTTAGCTGTCATCCTACTGTCTTTCAACATGTTGGAGTGAGATGCAGTCCACCTTGCTTAGCTATTAAAAAATCATTTAAGATAATTGTCTAAGCTTCCTCAAGAGACAGAAGTCTCCTGTGAGCTAGTCATTCCTTCCAAGAAGTGCTTGGGTAGCAGGTAGGATCTGGCAGCAGCCCTTTCTCTTCCCTGACTTGAAAAGAAAAAAATGTATGACAGATGAGACTGCGTGTGACTATGCTTCATACAGATGAATTTTTCATAGAGACTAGTTTGCCACACTTGTCCAGCCTGATCAATATTTACTGCTTGAGAGGAAAGATAAATGCTCAGAGATGTTTTGTTTCGTTGGTTTTTATACAGTGCTACTTTAAAGACCCAAATCAATGGGTCTGTTAAGGGTTAGAAGTATTTGTCAGGTTGCTCAGAAATGTTACCTTATTTCAAAGCTGAATACTAAGCTTCTGCAGAAAGATGGAAAAATACCAGATATGCCAGGAAAGGCAGATGGTTATCCTTAAAGCTCCCCTTTATTGATTCACCTGAAGTATGGACAATCTTCTGTTGTCAATCAAAGAGGGGCTAACTGCAGATGTTATGGAAGAGTTCAATAAAAGCCAGACTTGGAACAGTATTCTCTCGGTATATTGTCCCAGCCTCTAACAAAGTATAACTCAAGGACACAGGGAAGCAAAATCTGAATCCCATTTGGAAATGGCTGCCACACTTGTGTCTGCCGCCATGTGAAGGGCCTGAGTGTATTCTGCCTGGCGTGTAGCTGATGCTCCAGAACGACACAAATCTCTCATGGCACCTGTGTCATATCTGTCAGACCCACACAGATGGCTGATGTATTGGGTCATCTCAAGTGGCAGCAACTCTCCACAACCAAGCAAATTATTTGAGTCCTAGTTATATAAGCTCCCAGTTTAAGTTAGACACCTATATTTGGTGTGTTGATTTGCTCTCCAGTTTCCATTTATTGCAATGGGAGCTTAGACACCTAACACTCATGTAGATGCCTACCATTGTCTCTCAAAGACCAACAAAAAAAAGAATGAAATTGAGATAATTAATTCAGGTCTCCACAAATTAAAGAATTTGCTTTTTGGTACACAGAGCATCCTGTAGCAAACTGTATCACGGTTTAGCCATTACGTATGAAAGTACCTTCTTTTATTTCAAATCTACCAAGTGAAATGTCACTTTATGCTGCTAGTTTTTTATATTAGGAAAGAACAGAATTTTTTCTTAATCCACCTTTTAAACATCACTCAGTTTATAAAAACAACTATCAACCCTCCACAATTGGCTTTCATTTTTCTTGCCCTAAATAACTCTCATCTTGGTTGTGTTTCACAGCCTCCTTTTATCATCCTCATGATATAGAGCAGATACATTGATCTAGTTCCATTTGAAATGCAGAACAGAAACGTTATTGAAGATGTCTGCCTTTCAGAAGCATAACGTACAAGACTGGAAGGGAAGCCCTGAGTTCAGGAGGCTATTGTAGGCAACCATATAACATAAATCTGTTCCTCAGAGCTCACTTCATCTTAAATGCTCCCCATGTCCGAAACATACTTAATACTCCTTTTTTATTTACAATTTTTTAATCTGCCTTTAGAAATGTTTTCACATAGCAAATCCATTTTAACTTGGTTTAAATAAGAATATGAAGCTTTAAGTTCTAGTTTTGAGCCACTTCAATTCCCTTAGCATGCAAAAAATGGCTCAATAAAAGACAACTGCAATTTAAAAATAAAATTAAGTTTCTCGTAATTTAGATATTGTTAATACTAGAAAGAAGGTGGGCAAGACTATTATTGATTCTCTAACCATAATTGTATAGACAGTAAACAGAACTACCCTCTTACACACTCGAAGTGACACTTGATATTCAAGAAGGAAAAGCTCGGTTCTTCATCTAGAAGTGTCTAAATGTGAAACACTAGCACAACATTACATTTGCTAAACAAAAGCATTAAATAAGATGGTCAACAATTTTCTTTTACCTTAAAAACCCGCACACATTAGTATACGTGACAGAGGTTACTACTCCTATCAAACACTTCAAGAGGAAATAGGCAAGTTCTAAATTTATTGCAATGCAGAGTCTGTACAATAATAGCAACCAGACTGTATTCCAAGTCCTCTTACACACTGAAATTTGTATTACAAGGTATAGCCATAATAAGGGGTTAGTGCTACCTGTGGTCAAGTGTTGAGACGTTAAGTTTAGATACAGGTTGAACTCAGTTGTATTGAGTTCAACAAATCCCTGAAGGCTAATCCATCACGGCTACACAACAGTTTTATCAACTTGAGACAAATATCAGAAACAGCACCAAGGTAGAGACCATGAACATACAAGATTTCACTCTTCAACACCACAGTAATATGTTTACCAAGGCATACAAAAATATTTTTAGTGTTGAGCAGAACAGAAGGGCAAATATGAAGCGAGCATCATGCTCACTTTAAGTTTTTTTTCAGGTGTAAAGTGTAAACTGAAGCTTCATCAGCTAAAGATCATATACGCCAAACGCAGGAGAGTAGAATGCAGGTCTATGAAGGTTCAAATGAATGTAGAAAATAGCCAAAAACTGACAGCAGTTCAGTATTCAGCTCTTTTTAAGCCCCTTGACATGAATTTCCTAACGGCAGCTTAGGCTTCTAACTTAAGTCAAGTCATTACTGATCTATAGAGACAAACACTGTTTAGAAACTGCTCCCTCTGAAGAAATGTCAATTAAACGAGTACTGGAACAGATAAAAGGCAAATGAACAGAAGAGTCAAGAGTTTTTCTTGAGAGTATCACCTCAGCCAGATAGTGACAAGGTTTCATTTAAGACTAAACATGGCTACAAGCCCACAATAAAAGCCTACAAGGAATTTTAAAGCAGCATATTAAATTTTAGTATGAAGATGAACACCTGCCTGCTATTGGAAAACCATTCCATTAATAAGCTCTAACAGACTTCAGAGAAAAAGACAACCTAAAGGCATATTCTTTGTATGACCAACTGAGTGCTCTTAAGGGTGCACTAACTCCTAATCCAGAGAAAGAGAAGTTACAGGTGGAAGAGGATTTTATTACCTTCATATTGTGGCTTCACGAGATCCAGCATCTGGCACAAACAGTCTTCAAATGGCAAAGGTTCTATGGCCATGTTATCTAATTTTTGGCACTGTTCTTCATAAAAATACTCCAATTCATACATAGACAAAGCACCATCCCCATCAAGATCCATGCAGCGAAACCAGTATTCAATGCTGAAATTCAGTAATTAATAGCAAAGAACTGTTTACACAAAATTATTGCAGAATTTCAAGAATATATGTTGCCTGTTTTAAAGGCTATGCTACTTACAGATGCAAAACTAGACTTAAGACTACATTCCATAATGCCATAGAAAGTCATTAAACATCACCTGTTGTGGTAAGAGTTTCTGGTATTTGCCATGCCACAGATTATTGCATTTGAAAACACACTTGTTAATTGAATGGGTGAAGGAGGAGAGGACTAAAACATGTGGTTTTACATAAAAACTCAAGGGAGTCAATGAAAAATTGAATTGTGCATCAAAACCTATATCGAACAAGCCAGTGACATGTCACACAATAGGTTTCTGACCTATATCCTACAGCTAATGCTAGCTGTATACTTTCCCAAAGTCACTGACACCATGAACAACTGCAATTTCCTTTATCTATGACCCTGTCTGTAAGTAGACCACACACAGCATATGGAATGGTAACATTTAATTAGCCTCTTGAAAGTCACTAAAAGAGACTTCTACGGCAGCAACAACAGGAGACACTGACAAATAAGACTGATGCAATGAACTGGGCCAGTTTTCCACTCATGTTTTTATAGTTTAGCTTCTTCCATCAGTTTCCGCTGACCATCAGTGGTCCCCATTTAAGGACTGGAAAACCAATAAAGGCAGTCTTTATTTCTGTTAAAACATAAATTCAAATTCATACCTAGTTGGTGTCTTCTTGTCCTCTTCAGATATCAAAAACCAGACAAAATCAGCGTAGCTAATTTTCCCATCTTTTTGGGCTTTTCTACCCCTTGAAGGTCAATGAGGAAAAAGACAGAAAATGTGTTTTAAAATACTGAGCTTTTACTAACTAAAATTAAGGACTATTTTCCTTGGTGCTATTAACTGTTTATTTACTCCTAAACGATGCAGTGTTCATAAGGTGACTTGTCATAGAGTACTTTGATCATTCAGGATAAGGAGCTTCTGTGCTCTCTTCTGTTTCTACTGCAATGGCTGGAAGAGGAAGGGGGCAGCTGGAAGAGGAAGGGGGCACGCTGTCCAGAAGGACTTAACAGCTTTCCTTCCTGGGCAGCAATACCACCGCGTAACTGTTAACAGAAGAGATATTGCAATGCATTTTTAAAAAAAATATATTATACACAAATAAACATGCTTTTTAGAATTTCTATTCAGGTAGAAGCAATGAGAATGTAAAGCTGTACACAACTCCGCTAGCTAGAAGTGTTGGAATGGAAACATGAAGATAAAAATGAAATAAAAACATTCAGGAAGTAAGTGTTTGTAGCAAGGACATAATTGCCTGTTTCTACTCTCATGCCACAGAACACAGCATCCAAATACATTCTGAAGACACATGGTCAACCTGTCATGTAAAAAGTCAGGGAGGCAGTTCCCAGACATAGTACATTTCATTCCTAAAATCCATTTTTTGCTGTTTTATCCTCAAGATGTCTAGAAAAATATGGTATATTGCCCAAAACACTTGCATAAAGGAGTAAGCTCTAGACATATGCCTGCCAAGTGTCCTTTCACTCATTTCAGCTTTTATTTCTGTTTATCAGTCACTTTCTAGCTGCAGACATTGTGCTAGCAAAATGTTTCAAAAATGAGTAAAAATGCCATAAATACACAAGAGAAAGTCAATCCAAGTGGGAAAACTGAAGAATGACTGTCAAAAACGTGAATTAACTCAACTGAAGGCAATTTGTAAGTTGGTTGATGCAATAAGCATTGATTTTACAAGTAGTACTGAAAAGCCCAATTCCCTTTGAAAATTTTACAGGTTTGAGGGATGGAAAAACAACAATGCCAACATTTCTTCCCTTCCTCATTGCCTCCCCTGCTAAACCATACAATATCCAATGGCAAGTGTTACATACAGGTAAACAAAAAGAGAGTAAAGAACTTGGACTGAGCCAAAGGTTCCAAGAGCACTCTAGTACTACTAGAGTTTAAACTACAATACTAAATGTTGAAATTCACTGCTCCATTTCAAGGGGAAGGCATTTTTTCTGGGAATGTCACACAACTTAACAAGCAAATATTAAATTGGATTCAGATTAGCATGCGAAATAAGTACCTTGTTACTGCTCCTGAGAAGATCCGCTCTATCATCCGATTTGAAATTGCTGTGAAAAAAGGTTTGAAATAGTGTCAGTTATATACAAGTTATTTTTACTTTGCATTGTCTAGTTGAAGAGTTTACTAAAACCCTCTTATACATACGCATCTGTGAGAAAGATCAAGTGTAGTGCTCATTAATCCCTTTGAGTCCTCTTGGAGAGGATCACTTAACACAAAGTCTCCAAAGCAAAGCTAGAACCAACTAGCTTGGAATTCAGACTTGATACAGAAATAGTAGTGTAATAAAAGTAGTAAAATTGGCTAAATAATAAGACAGCATTTACCAGTTCTTTGACAAGTAAATCATGTTTTCAATTGCCACTACATTTCATACGACCTTGGCAAAGAGCCAAAATAGAATTGGCATGTTCATACATAATGAGCATACCTAACTGATTCGGACATGGGTCTATTTCTGCCATGGTTCTGATGCATGCTTCTATTTTGAAACCATTTCAGGGATTTTACAGACATGTCTTAACCAAGCACTGCCTCTGGAAAGGATATTCAATTTGTCCTGAAGAATCTGTGGATGGTACTCAAAGCAGCATATGATACTATTCTCACAGAAGAATTACTTCTCATTATTCTAGCTCTGAAATAATTTTTCCAGCATTGTAGAAATACTGATAATTAAAGCAGGTCGTTAACTACTCAAATACTTCATCTGTTTTACGTACTTATGGTGATGCTATCACTGTATTATTCCAGTAAGGACACTAGTCCCTACTAGTATTTATCCCCAGAACTGTAGGACAGACGATTTGTTTCAGACACACGTACTGCTGCTGCTTCTTATCTATATCTGAAACAGTGAAGTTGTTCAACCTTCTCAACAACATCTGCATACTTTAATTCATACAAGTCTTTGATCTAGCCTTAGACCAGTGAGAGTACAAAAGGAAGGGATTGACAAAACCAGATCACCTCATTTTGACATACAAAAAGTCAAGGTTTAAGACTGAAGTTATCATATCCATTTTATGCTCTTATTTAGTCTAGTTCTCATTAAGCAGCAGCTGTTAAGCTTTATAACCAATATTCCATGGTTTAAAGGATGCAAAACTAAATTGCAAGGGGCATCATATCAGTTTTGCTTCCTTTCTATAGTGTACTAACCAGTAGAGCAACCGCTCAAATGAAAGCAGTTTTCCTTCCTCAGTGTCCTAAAGTATAGTCAGATTTCCATAGGCAAGTTTTCAGAAGCAATCAATCAGAATTTTAGTTATTCTTTTTAATGTGAGATAATATTCCATAATCATTTTGTGCTTAAGTAAGCTTTCCGGTCCTGGAGGGAATACTTTTAGGATGACAACGGACACAAAGCATTCCAAAATCCCAACAGTTCCATACAAGCTACAAGAATATTTAAAATAGGTACAAGTGTGCAAGACTACAGAATCAGTCATTGTATATTGTGAATGCAGAAAATGCAAAGCTGCTAAACAGTATTTGAAACAAGATGTACTGCAGCTGATTTAACAAAACTAAAATAAACAAAGTACCTGAATGTATGTTTGCCTTTTTCTACTCTTTCCACACCTTGGCAAAAGAGCCATGCTACTTGATAAATATCAGTAAAATTGATTGTTTCCAAGATGACAACCCAAAACTGCCAAATGCAGCCGTTTATAAGATACCAAGACTTAAATGATTTTTCTTCTATTTCTTTGCCAAGATCAGAATTCAAATTCAGAATATTCTTCAAATTTGGTATGGCTAGGCACAAAGCAGCATCAGAGATGACTTGTCCTGCTTTATTTCACTGAGTCAGCAGGGTCAGCTACACCAGACTCATGAACACTGACGCTGGCAGTTAACCACTTCCTCGGTTTAAAGTTTACAGGTCATTTAATGCATGTAAACAAAGATGCTTCGTTTCTCATACCATGATCATTATGTCGAGCTAAATCCTTCCGATCAATATAGAGGTCATGGTCTGTATCCAGCTCCCAAAATTTGCAATAGATAACATAGAAATGTTCATATGAGAAGTACTCTGTCAGCTGGTTAATATCAGCTTCCTCTTCCAATAATGCCACATTCTATTATCAGAAGGATAAATAGAACACATTAAAGAATTTGTAAGACATTTGTTGAATGATCCGAGTTCTCATAACCAAGTTAATATCTAATGCTATTTTAGTGGAACAATTTTTATCTTCAGAGACAGTGCACACCATGCAGCATGGCAGCAAAGACTGAACACACAAGGCAGAAAACTAATGCATTCACAGAAGAATGAGGGGATCTGCCAGACTTCTGCTAAACACATATGCATATATAGCTCTAGATAAAAGATAACATTTAAACATATTCTAGTGTATGAGAATGAATGCAATTGTGCTTTCACTAGTTTTTGGAAAAAGGAAGAAATGCTACTTATGTTACTCCCTTAAGCATTTAGTTAATGTAATTTTTAAACTTGTAGAACCATCTGCCTTGCAAAATTTTAGATATTACATACCTGCAAGAAGTTGCTTTTCCTGAGCTCGTTACAAGTTATTTTCCCAGACCAGGACCTATTTACTGTATAAAATATTCTCTGTATAACCTGCAAGAAACAGAAAATGAGAAGGTGATCTTAGATATGCTAACTAAATACCCTCCCAAACATTTATCAAAGATAAGTCTTAGCTCAGCTGCATTACAGGACTGCATCTTTCCCCTACTTCTATTCTTCTCATTACTTAGCAGGTTGATGCTTCTCTTATATGTCATATTAGCAAACCATTTCTAAATCTATATCTAAACTCATCTTGAGAAGTCATCTTTCAGTGCTGCACTACCTATATTTCACACAGTAAAGTTGCAGAATACTGGTACACTATCCAGAACCTGTCTATTAGCAATTTCACTACCTCCTAGTCTTCCAGATCTACAGGATATCATCTAATAAAACTATTAATATATCTCATCACTTCAGATTTAGAAACCTATATTTACTACAAGAATATTTTACTTCATAAATGAAGTTACAGAAATAGAACAAGGACTGTTTAAGGATCAGAGTACAGGGGGATATTGGTACTTCTGAAGACCACAAATACAAATCAACATTTGACAGAAATATTTCCTGTAGGTGCAGAGAGAATACATTTTTCCTCATTTAATTTTATTCTATTTAAAGTTACTTGAAAAAACCCTGTTAACAGTATTAAAAATAGTACATAAATATTTTCTAACTGAAGAATAACAACAACAACAACAAAATCTATGCAAGAAAAATGATTAGCTCTTGTGCCATGATTAATGTTGGAACCAGAAACAAATCCATTCAGTTGAGTATCCAACAGTTTTGTTTAAATCAGTTTCACACATACATTATTTTGGTAAACTCATGCATTCAGTATAATCTGCCTGGTTTTAGTTTACAAACACAAGACTTCAAAGTGTTTTTACTGTTTCTTATTTGAATTCAGTATTCGCCTCAATTAGTTGGACTTAATCAGATATATATTTCAAATCAGCCATTCACCACTAACAAACCTGGACAAAAAAATCTAAACATATTATGAACTTTAACTGCTTAACTGGAGACTCATACCTACTAATTAGCAAGACTAAATATTGCGTGTGTAGCATTTCATTTGCAACACAGTAGTTACTAGCTAAAAAAGCCATCTCTTTAGGAACACTTTTCCCCCAAATAAAACCTCTTCCCAACTAAAGACTTTAAGTTTTTATCAATTCAGACTTTAATTGCAGTAAATCAACAGCTTAAACCAAGCATTTCTAAGTTACAAATAGAAGAGTAATTGATTCATAAAGTTTTAAAATAAAACTTAAACTGTAGCATGCAGCAAGCTCTACAGCTCTTACTTTGAACAAGAACAGTTGGTTCAATAAACCCAGAAAGCAGAATAGACTAGCCTACTTCTGAAACTTAATTAGCTTAATTCTAATTGTGAGTATAGGGAAGGCCCATTTTTGGCTTATACTACAAAGCAATATTTTCTAAAAAGGTTTTGCTTTAGCTTTGCAACTTAATCCATCTGCATGTCATTATCTCATCTGTTATACATATAACTGGTCTAAAAATAAAACCAAAATTGAGTGTTTGCTAAAGACAACTGGGAATAGACTTAAATGGTTTTCTAAAGTGAATCGAAGCAGAGTATAAGCAAATTGTCAGAGAATTGCCTTCTTTACTATGCTGCACAGTGGTTTGTCAGAAGGGAGAAGAAATGGTGCAATACAGAGATTACAATTTCAAGAATTCATAGTTCAGATATATATATAACGTACTACATTTTATCTGCAAGTATCTAATTTGTCAGAGCAAACCTTTCTAACATATTTCAGCTTTATCTTGGACATATGTACCTAACCTTACTACTAGACTGACCTGCCAACCTATACTATAGCTTAGCAGGCAACTGATTGCTTCCATGGTTGAACAACACTTACAAGACACTTGCTTCACTAAAGAGATGTACATAATGTATATATGCATACACATCTATATACCTATGTATACACAAAAAACACACAGGAGAAGAATGGATCATTTAATTTGTAACTGGAAGTTAGCATGAACAGACATTAACTCTTAACTGCAGTGCTTAGAAAATCCTTTAGATAAAGCTTCATGTGGCAAAGTAAAGCTAATTGAATACAGGTATGAAATGCCTTATTTCATCTTACAGAAAATCATCTATCATTACTAGTAATAACTTGCAGGACAGAATTTTAGAAGACTCTATTGGGCAACAGTTACTCCATCCTAAAATATGACAAGAAAGGGCTAAGGGTCCTCCTACCATTTCTTGATCTGCAGAATAGTATTCCAAATATTGTTGCTATATTCGTAGCAATACTAGTTAACTTTGGGGATTTTTCGATTAAACACTGATTTCTGCTGAAGACTACACTAAATTTGCTAGTAAAGTACTGCCAGCAGTAATTTATGCAACACTGCTAGACTCAGACCTACTCAAATAAGCTGTTCCTCCAAAGAAAAGTAACTGGAAATGGCAGGATTTTGCCTCCTACAATCCTTCAGGACAGGCAGCAAGCTTTCACAGCTTTAAGCAGAGCAGGCTTTGATACAACCCAGAATCCATGAAGAAAGAAAACTACTCACAGGCAGAACATTTCCTTCAGTCACATCTGACAAGAAAGTTCTGGGAGCTCATGTAACCATCATAACAAGAAGCAAAACCTAATGCAGCAGGACATACTTGATAGGACAGCAAGCCTCTATAAGAAGGATATGAGGAACCAAAACCAAATACTTTCAAAAAAGCTTCCACAGTTTTGGTCTGGGTCAAACTAGAAACTGGATAAAAGATGATCAACTCTGCATGGTTTTTGCTGGAGAATATTCATTAAGCTGTTTTTCACATGCACAAAGAAAGTGAACTGAATGTCATTTTGAAGAATTTTAATCTTTTGAGACTTCAGTGGAATCAGCTGTCTAGTCTACAGCTGAGAAATTTAATGTCACTGATTTCTCCCCTGGGTACAGAAAGAATACCTTAGTCATATAATCCTAGGCAGAGAGAAATGGAACTTTTCATGTATAAAACCTGCTTAGAAAGAAAAATCTCCAGAGAGGAAAGTGGCAAGCAGCTCAATATTATCATTATTTTACTTAATACTGAAGATAATCACATTAATATAGACCTTTCATTCAAAATTCCATTTAATTAATCCCAGAGTAAGGTCAGGATTCTAACGAGTACAGTCTATAGCCACAACCAAGTGTTTAAGATAAGTCTGTTCTTTGTTTAATGTTCATTAACTTATCCTACACTATTACAATTCAGTGTTTCTCTTGCTAGTAATAAGTTCAGCAATTTCTTGTTAAGAAAAACTATGATGATTAAGCAATTGAGTCTTTCTTCACAAGATTTCCAGTTATGTAGGAATGAAGACTGACAGCACACTTAACTTTTCTCAAGGGACAGAGATGCTTATACATATTGACTAATCTCAGTAATTTTGATTTCCCGACTTAGTCAACAAAAAAATAGCTTTTCCACATACAAACCACTTACTGTGGTAATGTACCGAGAATGAAATTCAGATGCTTCTTTTAAAAATGATAGGCCAGGATGACTATTCACCACATCCTACAAAAAAAAAAAAGAGAAAGGAATAACAATATGCCAAACAGTATTCATTAGTGACTATATAAAACAATTAGCACAGAATAGCACATCTGCTTCCTTAACCAAAACAGTTCAAATTAACTACCAATGTCATTAATGATAACTTCATTTACAACATGCTTCATGTAAATAACACTGCTGACTTTTTAAAAATACAATTTTCTTTCAAATAAGCCAGATAAACAAAAGCTTTCTTAGATTTTATATAGGCTGAAGATTTTGAACACTGCTTACTGCTGTAGTTCGTAATTCTGTCCCTGACAGATTCAGTAAAAGCCAATTTAGGTTTTATTTGTTCATTAGTAAAGGTGTTGTTTGCTGCTCTTTGAGAGAAGCTGTATTAGGTCTTGAATTCATACACCACTTTTCCTTTGCCCTCCAAAGGCCCTCCTTGACTTAAAGAACTTCAACTGCCTTCCTAAACCATAAGGATTCTCTGATACATGTGCTATTCCTGCAAGCAATTCTAAGTCCACGGATCTTACTGTAGCTCTCAAAAAAGACCTCACCTTATACAAAATGATTAACTGTAAAAGAATTCACTCCATAGCATCTCAGTGGACCATACAAAGTGAGTTACACTAAATATTAACAATAAACTTTAGTGAAAAGCATGAAAAAGTAAGTTTAGCTCAAAAATGTGGGGCTGTGCCAGTTCATCATTTTGTTCTTTCCAGAACTAGTTTCAGTTGCAATTTACTTGTAAAAAAGGAATGAAGTCTTCTTGCACCAAGTAGTTGCATCCAGGGTTCATTAGAAGATGAACAAACTTTGCAGCATCGTCATAGCAGGTCTGAAGTATTCTGAAATGTAAATATTTCCATTTAATACTCTACACAGAAAGTTGCTCCTGCTACCTTGTACAGGCATCCTAGAGCAAAGGCCTATGAATCTGCAACCACAACATTTAATTCAAAAGCTAATTACAAATGTCAAAGTACACTCCAAATGAACTTATCAAAGCAGTACTGTCTCATACATTTATGTTAAAGGAGGGGGGTACACCATGTATTGATTACATGAAAGGACATTAAGTTAGAACTGGAAGGAGAACTAGAAAAAAACAAAAAAACATTTTGTCTAGAACTGGCATATACAAGTTAGGGCCATGGTTTTCACTTTTCCCATAAACAGTCAGTCATTTACCAAACACTTTAAAATCTACAAACCCTGTAAAAAAACCTAACAAATCTTTATTTAAAGTGATGATTTAGTTACATTTTCCCAGGTACAAGTTTGCTGTCAATAGTTGATTATGGGAAAGTGTTTTATTCCCCTTTACAGATTGCATCTCATTCAGAGTTTAAAATATCACATTTCAATTAAAAAAAATGCAGTATTTCTAAAAAAGTAATCTACTTACTTCCGCCACATTGCAACAAATTTATGAACTGACACGTATCCTGTTCGTTCACCTCCAGCACAATAAAACAAAGGACCTTTCCAGTAAAGTGGGCATTCACAAGCCTAGAATTAAAGTATACATCAAGTCAATTTATTGATTGCTTATCTGAAGGTTACTCCGTTATTTATAAATCTTTCAAAAATTAAATTTTACAGGTGTTAAAAAGAAAACATTAAGGCATGGATTGATTTTTTTTTTTTTAAAACTTTTTCTGAAGCCAACTGCACATTCCAAAATAATTAATTTTAAGCAACTGCTTTAGGCTGAAATCCAGAAGTGGAAAGCAAAACATAGGGCAAATTGCAGCATTCCGAACAGATGAATGCCGTCACATGTCTGCTCTGTCCATGCTCCAAGCAGCTAAACACAGTCCATGCTAATGAGCTCTGCTGAAGGGCTGGATATCTTTACGCTGAGCTCAAGAGAGCACAAACAGAACTGGAGCAAATTTACATTTGTCTGGCTCAGAGGAAGGCTCAACTCTACTCTGCATCCTTGCACATGCATGGCACATCTTCTATCCAATTTTAAGTAGTAGGCCAGCCTTCCCTGAGCAGGAGTATCTTGCTTCAGGATACACAACAGTTACACCTTCACAATGTCAGTGCTCCCACGTACACCTACAGTGCCACTTCTGTGCCTGCTCCAAGGTTCCTCAGCTGTAAAAGCTAAGTACCCATCTCTGGTCTAAAACTGACTACGACGGAATAGTCAAGACAAGCCAGCATCTCTCAGAATCTCACATGGATCTCATATAAGATTGCGAATACTGCAAGACATATAAGGTCACTGGAGCAAAAGGACAGTTATTTCTCATGCAATAGTTTAATGAGTACTTCAACAAAATAAGAAAAAGTGATTTTGACAAATCCTGTCCTCAGACTGAGAGGCTTTTCCCTATGCTTCAGGAGGGTGCCTTTCATCACTGAATTATAGGTGACTGGATCCTTCCACCTTTCTTGCTGAGAGCAAAGGGTCTCTTCCACCTCTCCCCACTTCTGTGTGGAAAGCAGGAATCCTATCATTCAGCTGCACAGTTAAACACTTCTGGTGAGGCAAACAAGGAGCTTCTGAACCCCAGTCCTGCTCTTGTGAAAAGTCTTTGCTTCTGTTTTCTAGACCTTGGACTTTAAATGCTAAGTGACAAGAACAGCGATGAGAACCTGAGACTCATTACCAAGACCATGACTTGCAGTGATATTTCTGTAATAGTGGAAATTTAAGTTTGATTTAATTAGGTTATTGTCTGTTACACAGAAGTTTAAAAATATTTGCTGCTTTCTCAGTATTTTGTCACTCTGCTGTAACTCTAAATTAGTTCTTGAGTAATAACTAGAGGGCTATAATCTCAAGTTACCAAACCATTCTGTCTTTCAATGTCTTTACAATGAAAGTTCATGACACTGCTGAATGAGAAAAAACAGTGCATATTAACAGTGCTTTTGCCTTAAGTCTGTTGGTCAACACAGAATGCACAACAACATACAATGTGCCCCTCAGTATTTGGTTGTTCATGCAACTAAAAAATAGTTCAAGTTTTGTTTTAATGTTTGGGGTTTTTTGTAAGCAAAGTGTAGGGCCATTTGAGAGAGAGTTAATGGAAAGATTTCATATAACTGTGCTATCAACAATGTTGAATATGATGTCTTACTAGTACTACCTTGTAGGAGATAAAAAACACAATGCAAGAAAACAAAGCACACAGAACTCATGTTTCCTTTCCATAGGTGTACAGTACTAAAAGTAGACAGCCAGCAAGTTCTCACCTTTGCAACTTTCCCCATGTCTTCTAACGTTGCCCTCTCATTTGGAAACTCAGAGAAAGTTCTCTCAATTTTGGCAATCACAGCATCTATATTCACTTTTTCCTTAGGACATCCTCGAGGAAAATAGAAAGTTGGAATGTTTTGACTAAGTGATGGTGGCAAAGTTTCTTCCTTCTTTGGTTGAACCTAAATAAATAAATACACATTTGACAGTCAGGTACAATGAAATCACATATAATAGCCATCCTCAGATGATTTGAATCTCTTGGTATATGTTGCAACACACCTTCAAAAAGATTTCTGATGATGGGTTGAATAAGCTCTTTAAGAATGAGAGCACATTGGAAAAATTAATGAGTTTTTCCAAAAACTGTCAATTAGACAGATTTCTAGGATGTTAAAAATTTAATAAAAACAACTTCAGTCTTCAACATATCAAGTTTCAAGATTAATACACTAGACAGCTTCTATGGAGACATCTGAAATAACTCAGGTTATATTATCAGTTTCAGAAGAACGAAATCCAACTTCTAGCTTAACAGACAGGTCATGAAAGAATTGGCTTTTGAAATATTTCTAGTTTTACGGCTTCAAACTTTTGAAATAAGCATGACAACTTTGTTACAAACCATCAGCCTGTTTAATTTAGTTACAGTGAAGATGTTTCGGGTTTTTTTGATCCTAAAAATGCTCGATTTTATAAAGATAGTAAATGATTCCTGCAGAGGGATTTTTTTGGTAAACTATAAATGATTATGGCATAAGAGCTCAGAAATCTGTTTCTCAAGAATTTGTGACATACTGTTCTACAAAAAAAAAAAAAGACCAGTAACAAGAGAAATTATTTATTTAAATCCATTTAGCTTCAGTAAAGAATTTACCTTGTATTTAGTTTCCAAAAGAAAGTCCAACAAGGCAGAGAAACAAAGATAACAAGCAAAGTAACAATAGGGTTATGTGGCAACTCAAAATTAGCAATCAAACATGAAGTCTTTCATCCCAAGGCCACTATTCAAAGGTAAAACCAATGGTTAGTGCTATATGGTGGCTCATCCTAGTGTTAAATATGTTCAAGATCCTGAATTCCATCTCTCATTTCCAACCAGAATTGGGAAGGAAAAAAAAAAAATAATCCAACCCCCCACCCCCAAATGCCAACCTTCATTTTACCCCTTATCACCTTTGTTGAAGTGCCTGTAAAGATACCCAGCTTTCCTACCACAAAGTCCTTCCCTAAGTCAATGAAAGAACTAGGTGCCTATGGACAGCAGATTTTAAATTGGAGGGTTCCAACCCAGGGCCTTCACTGGAATGCTACACATGCTAAAAAAACCCTGATTTAACCTTTCTTTCCCCTCCTCTGCATCTGAGCTAGCATTCTTGTTCACAGCTGCAGAATTACCACAACTGAGTTACAAGTTTTATTTCACAGAGGAAACAGTTACCTTGAATCTGTGACACCTAGAGTGGATGTCCGTCATTTTCTACGAGCCCTGTAAAATTACAACTTCTGATACCTCATCATTAGCTCAGTGGTCCAGCTAATGAGGCATCAGCTGAGAACAAGAGTGCCACAGGGCATCAAAAATCCCTTCCAGCCATAGACTTCCAAACTTTTGCAAAGCATAAAGACAGCAACATTTTATTCTCTAAGTAATGTTACCACCAGCACTACAAATAATGTATGTAATTGGATTAGGACCTTCTTTCATTCTAGAAACAGAGCTCTACACATCAGCACTTAGCAGAGCCCTAGCAGTTACCCTACGCAAAACCAGACCTATTCCTTCGACTGGGACCATACAGCCAGATAGCTAGCATGCTTTTGAGCGCGAGCTACCAAGCCATCTTTTACTTCACAGAATCAAACCCTTACGTTCATTCTAAACAGCAAGGTTATTTTATTTTATTTCCCCTTTTCCCCCATTTACAAGACCTGCCTGGATAGCCACTCCCACGCAAGCCGCTCAAATTGCCACCCCAGCAGCAGGTACTCCAGTTCTTCAGAGATACCCAATGAGGTGTGCTTCATCCGAGAAAAGGGTAGAAGTGTCAATTATAGACTACTAACGTCCCCCTGAATGTTTCAGGTAACATAAGGTAAATCAGTATTTCAAGAAAACCTAGTACTGACAGACACGGCATTTTTAAAATCCACAGCTAGGAAAATTTATAGCCTTAGATTTTTAAAAAAAGTTTCTTTTAAAAGGAAAGGTAGGGGCAGAGGGAAGATTACATTGGAAAAGGTCCCAAGAGAAGAAGAAAGGCGATCAACAGAACTATTTGTTCATCAGAAACTTCATATTTTTTCAGAAACTACTCATACTTCAGATACCTCATAGTACACAATAGATGATTTCCATTGCTCCAGGTTAACAGCTCTTCCTAAATGCATGTGGACATCTCAGTTCAGGATTTGTAGGAAGACCTATCCTAGCACATGTAACTTCCTTGGGTGTTATTTATAAGAGTTATACAACAGAGGCTTTTTACTTATTTATTTTTCATCTTTTTGTCTGTTGTAAACATGTTCCAGACCATGATTACGAGGAAGAAGTTAAGCAACAGATTCAGAACTGAAGATAGACATACAGATGAAGAAACATTTTCATCTTAGAAAAATCAATTTATTTTTAAGCATGACTTTGAATTCACCATGCTTAGTGTAAAAATACATAATATTTAATCTGTAAGACAGTATATTTATTCTAAAACCAAGTATAGAATACAAACCTGCACTGCAAGGCAAAATAACTCTCCCTATATTGAAAGACTTTGCCTACTTCTACACGCTGGTTTCTCACAGTCGGTGAAAGAAGAAACTACAAAAATGCTTCATTTGCATGACAAAGTGTATGACTATTTCACAGTCATTTCTGATAGATTTATTTGGTGCCTACACTGCACACATTGTACACCTGATGAAGACAGTCTGTCATTTCAGGGGAATCAAAACGCACTAATTGTGTGAGATTAAGCTGTTCTGGAACTAATTACAACTTTAACCAGGCAATTTCTTCATTAACAAGAACTACTAGAAGTCTGCTAATACCCATCTTCGGAAAATCTGCAGCTACAGTCCGTTATTCTTTTTACACAACTATTCCATTTCAGTAAGTCAATTTAGCATTTAGAAAGTGATCTACATTTTCTTATGGCTTTAAGGTAAAACTTTTAATACTGCTACCAGTAAGCTAAACTGACAAAAGAGACTGTTTTGGTAAGTGAATATTTTCCCTGCAACTTGCCAAGAAAGAGCACAAACAATAACATGCTTGGAGTCAAGGGTAACAGCTGCACAAGCTTGTAACTCACTCGCACAAGCAGATGTGTGTTGCAGTGTCAGGACCGAATGGCACGTTAACCTTGGCAATAGGTATATGTATACGTAAAGTCCAGAATCTGTAATCATATTGTGAAGTTGCCACTGCAGTTTAAGTTTTACATAAAAGATGGGAAGTGAGGACTCCTTGAAAATTACTTGTTTGTAATGATGTAAACAAACTTCTGTAGGATTAGTCCATAAGAGAATCCAAGAAAACCTTTAATACATAACCAGCTTTCGTTCCTGACACATAGAACCAGAACGACCATCCGCAGCTATCCAACACTTACTTGCCTTGACTTTTACAAAGGAGGAGGTGGAAGTTTATATCTCACTGGAGTCACTGTTCAAAGAGCAAACTTCACATTTTAGTTTGCACATCTTCAGATCCTTTCCCAACTGTTTTCCAGCAGCTGTTTATAATAATGGTATAAAACCATTATTATAGTTACAATATAGTAATATATTAGTAACTATCAGAGAACATGGATACACCTCATTCCAAAGAGAGAATTTGAGTCTTCTTGCTAGACGGTCTTCTTCTATTTACCAACAGATGAGCTGCATTCAGCAAATAACTTGGCTATAAACAAAAATGAAGACAGCAGGCACTTTAAAATGAGGTGCCCTTTTCTCTCCCTCTCAACGGAAAGAACGAGCCAATGCTATGACAGAGTCACTCAATGACAGCATATATCACTTAAAAAGGACTTGCTGGAAAAGGAAACAAGATAAATATGTTTATGAATGTAATATGTTTTAGACAGCTTACTGATTAAGCCATAAGCTCATTGAACTGATTTGGTATTTGCATTGTTTTGACACTACTACAAAAAAACATAACTCCATTCAGAAATACTGATGCTGTCTAGTATCTGACAGACATCAACATTTGTTATGCTTGTTTCTCTGGAAAAAAAACCAAACTTAAAACGTATTTACAGCATTAGCATTCAGTTTCTGCTGTATAATTTGACATGAACTTCCATAAGGATGTCCACATTAGAAAAAAGTCAATGGAATAGATACAACAGGGTCAAGACAACAGGACCAAAAAAAATTCTACCTCATGCCCAACTTCACCTTAAATTGTTACTCAGAAGTGGTACACCACAATCCCAAACAAAAAATGGCATTAAATACTGAAAATACTATAAAGACATTTTTACCTATCAAAAAAAAGTCTGGTTTAAACCCTTAGTATTTTTAACTAAGGAATTAAAAAAAAGGAATGTTGTGATATTTTCCAAATGTGCAATGCATAAGTTAATCTAGTTCTTCAAAAGACTGGGTCTTCTATTCTTATATAGCACAATTTATGCTAATCCTACCTGGGTAAAACAAAGTGCATAATTAGCGAAGATGATTTTCTGCAGAGGTATGCTATTCAGCCTTTTAAATCCTACCACCCCTGCAATCACCCACGTACAATGCTTATAAACCACTCAACAACAAAAGCAGATACTGCATGAAGTTCCCCGATACACAACAGAAAATGAAAATCAACATAGAGACCCAAAGGGCAACAGGGTGGTAGTGATGATGGCAATTGTGAATGTAAGAAAATGTTACCAGTAAGGAGGCTCAAATGGAGTACCTGACCAGCCTTCCCATCTCTCTCTTACAGCCATCAGTCTAAGTCTGACCAGTAAAGTGACAGGAATATTTTTTCTTTAACTTACTATCTATTTGATTGCACAATGAAACTCAACATTTCCCTCTAGATAAGCTAGTGACATGATCAGTAGTTTTATGGAATTTAAATCCTGCAAACAGCAGGTAAAGGATTTATGCTACTATTGTCTAGAAAAGGGATCACTCTCCAAAATAATGTTTTTTCCTTCCAAATGAAAGATTTGTT